TTTCAGGTTTAAGTGGAGGGGTTTTTGTTTATTTGCTTTTTGTAATTACCTTTTTTTTTATTTTGCTTGCTTCTTTTATTTTTTATTTTCTATTGCAGTTAGAGACGACCATCTTTACATTAACTCGCTTCCCTTTTCTATGTGGTTTAGCTTTTCAGTATTGGTAGAGAGGGGAGACAAATATTTTTTTTTCTATCTGCGACCTCTTAGGAGACAGTGATTCTTCACCACTTGTCGTCCAGACACACACACAACACAATCTGGAGCCTCTCACTTCAGATCTGTCCTCTCCAGATAACCTTCTGTCGTTAATCTCTATTCACCTTCATTTGGAGGTTGAGCAATCTCAAAGTGTTAGATCATTCTTTAAATTTTAAAAATACTCATAGAAATTGGCAAGACACATATACTACCATAAATCGTACTGTAAGATGTTTGGCTTTTTTGTATCACATTCCTTACTTATGGCTTTGCTTATTGACCCAGGGCTATCTATTTTTTATTTTAGATTAAAATCTCCTTGGGGCAAAGAACTGCCATTTTGAGCAGTTTATAAATTATGATGGTGTTAGACCTTACAGCACACAAGATTTGGCTCCAATTTAAGGTTTTGTGCTGAGGTTCTTACCATATATATGCTTACCTGTCATTCCTTTTTAATAAACCTTTTAATTAACAACAAAAGGAAGGTCTAAAAAGAACATTTCTAGGAAAAAAAAATTACATCCTAACCATTGAATTTTCTTTAGTTCCAAAGTTATTGCAACACAGGCACCAACAGCACAGGATTTCTTAAAGTGTTGGTGTGAATTATAGTGCCTTCTCTGGTAAGGAACACAAGGCGGGTCAAAAATGACTTAAAACCATGATCACATGATAGATACAAGATAATCCAGGTTATACCTGTTGATGATTCCCAACCAGTTGGATGGCCTGCTTTTCCTAACAGTGGTCTTTCATATACTGATGCCAAGGTGTTTTAAAGACAGTGTTACAGATGCTGTCCATCGTGAACTGGAACTGACCTCCCAAGATGAGGGTCTATCATGCTGGGCAGGACTACTTCGGGTGATAATTCTGTGATGTCATGTCTTTGAACCTTTTCTTCTCACCTTGTCAATCACCCTGTAATGAGTCATATACTATAAAAAGTAAGGAGATAGAGAGAAGAAAGAAAAAACTTCATTATTCCATTTTGTTCTTAAAAGACATTCTTTAACTCCTATTTGGTGCTTCTGTGAAAGAAATTAGATGTAACATGAGAGCACCAGCTGCCATAGACAACTGAAACAGAGATTACAGGTGGAGAGAAATGGCAGTAAGCATAGACAGGTCAAAGAGTAAATGAGCATTGGGATCCATAGATAACGTTGTTAGATCGGTTCACGTATTTGTTCTGGCATCATCCCTAGCAGCTAAAACCCATGTATAAAATCTGTTTTGTTGAAATTTTATGCAACTTCTTAATGTGAAACTAATGTTTTGGAACATGGTTTCCAAAGCAAGTATTGTAGACTCAAGTCAGACATCAGATTCCCTTACCAAAAATCATCATGTTCCCATTTGCAGTCCTGGCTGCCTTCTCTGTAGCTCTTCCGTGATGATGAAGTCTGAGTAAACATTAGCTGGAGGGCCAGCTGTCAACGGCTGTGAGCACTGTCTCGTCTGTCCTCTAAGCATCAGTGTTACAATCTGCTCTCTTTAATCCTAGGTTCTTCACAGGGAGCTACTCTCCTAGTGAAGAAAAAAAAGTGCTTTTTTAGTTGTCAGCATACTTTGTGTGCTCTAGAACAGTTTTTGTTTATGATACAATAATACCATCCTGACATCTACATTGTATGTAAACAATGTACCGTATGTACCGTAAACAACACCAGGAGTGCTGCCATGCTCCAGTGAGACAGGTGGGTCTGTCAGTTTGAAGTTTGGAGAGCGTGGTTAGTAGGGGATTTTTCACGTTTCTGTTCCACACATTCTAAAGGTGACTGCAGAGCTGCCTCCCCCACCCACTCATCCTCCCTGGCATCTAGGAGTGTTCACATCATGGTCTCGGTTTGACCTCTTCCTAGGGACGTGGACAGATGATAACACCCTGTCTAAACATGGAAATCAGTTTCCTGTAATCAGTTGTCCAAGGGTTTTTTTTGGGGTGAGAGTAATATTACATTTTCCTTAAACAAAAGCTAATGAAGCAACAAATAAGCTTCACAAATCATTTTAAACTGTATATATCCTGGCTTATCACTACAATGACTCAAAAAAACCCAACTTTATCTTAATTTAGCCAAAATTTAATCTAAATTACCTCCTCTAACTTACAGAGCTTTTGGGTAAATTGAAACTGGTGAGCAGTGGACACATCAAGCCCTTTGGGAGGGTCAGCTTTTGAAGTGACCTAGAGGGCAGCAGGGCTGTAGCCCCACAGCACCCTTCATCTGCAGGCAGCACACCCAGTTACACAGTCACCAAGAGGTGGGCAGTGGTAGACACCAGCACTTACTGAGTTAGGTCTCTGCTCAACAGCAAGGTGTATCAGGGCCCTCCTCTTCACACTTGACAGCCTCAAGGTTTCCTTAGTTTTCCTCTGGTTGTGTACTGTATGTCTGTACACCCAGAAATTGCCTTTAAGCAATTTTATTCCTAAAGTAATATTTTCTGTGTGGACAAGATTTATTGGGGTTTTTTTTCCACCTTCCTATTTTCAGTGTATTTGCAATAGTGTGATAAATGATCTTTGATACTTGACCACTTGTTTCTGCTGTAACTTGAAACAGTCCTACTATCTTGCTCACAGCCACCATTAATGAGATTTTTTTTCTTCCATCTCTCTGCATTACAAAAGCCGGCTTAGTTACCCAATCTGGAGCACAGTTTAAACATGTTTCCAAGCCTTTCTCAATCATTTCTTTTTCTCTCTGTTAAATGTACAGGGCCCTGAAGGAACACCAGGAAATCCAGGTCAGCGGGGCCATTTAGGAAAGAAGGTAGTATTTTTCATCTTCCCCAATTCCCTTCCTTTTATCTGAAACTCAAATTTACATTACAGAATTATTCCATTGAAACAAGTCTACCCCTATTTTATGTCATGCTTCAAGATGTTTTTTTTCTTGCTGATCATAGCAATTAGAATTGTCATCATCCTACACTCAATAGCATTCAGGACTTCAGGAAATTTAAATTTGTATCAGGATGTGATTTTGCAACTTGGAACAGTTTCTGCTGCTATTCAAAAAATGTTAAGCTTTGACTAAAACAGAACAAAAAAAGGCTTTTAGCAGTTTTTTTTACTGTAGGGTTCTGGGTTCAGACATTCTAAGAACTACAGTAAATGACATATAAAAGAGTAATACTTCCATTAAATAATGCAGCTACACACTTTGGTTAAGCGTAAACAGCATTTGGAAACTTAGTATTGATGTCTTATTACTTTTAATACAATAACACCAACAGGGGGAAAAGGGGCAGCTTGGCCCTCCTGGAGAAATTGGACCTGCTGGTGACTCTGGCCAACCCGGAGAAACTGGTCCCAAAGGAGCAAGAGGAACTCGAGGTCCCTCGGTTCGTACAAAACAATGCTTATTTAAGAGCTCATATATTTCTGGTTTAGCAGAATCTTGTCTCTCTGTGGGAAGAGGCAAGTCACATCTGTACCACATATAAATATTTTTTGAGTTTCCTGATTTGACCATCAGAGGAGCAGGATGGCAGGGCATGCCATGGAATACTTATGCCTTGCAGTCCGCATATAACCTCAGTGTTGTGGCTGTTCCTTAAACTTCTCCAGTTACAAGAACAGAAATCATGGGGGTTTGCTGTTGCATATAATAAGCCTTAGACATGGCTGAAACAAAGGATTTCAGATGAGGACTAGTACTCCTATTGAATGGGAACCTCATCCAATGTTAACTGAATTAAGGGTATATCCATTACCTTTGAGCTCCTTTCATCACAAGCTCCCCATGCTTGCTCCACACTGTGATAGATACCCAGACACACACAACCTGCACACTAGTGAGTGAACATGCCCATCTCACAGCTCCAGGGCCATATCCTGTGTCCCTGAATACCTAAAGTACAGACGGAAGAAACTTACTAAATAGTGGATATTTTAAAGAGCAGGACTCAACTTGGTAATATGAGGACCACTCAGCTTAAATTGGCATACTTAGCAATTATAAACAGTGTTCCTCTACCCATCTGAAATCTCAGATCATTTTGATCTTAATTATGCACAGAGATTATAAGGTTAGGACTGAAAACAATTTTTTTTCCACAGAACAGGGAAAAGCCCAGTTTTCTTTACCAAATTAAGTTGGACCTAACAAGGAAGTTGTCTGTAGTTCTCAAATTTCAATATTTAAAGATTTTTCCAAGTGATAACTTTATACATTAGGGATTGTTGTAATATTTTTACAAGGGAGATCATTCTTCTATCACTGATTATTTCATTTAACAGGGACACCTAGGAGGAATGGGACCTGAAGGAGAGCCAGGAATTCCAGGTTATGGGGTGAGTTTTTTACTGAATTTGTGTACATACACACATCCTTAATTAAGTCTGTGGTATTCTAAATAATTTCAGATATCATGGGGATCTGTATATAGAATTATACACAAATATCTTTAGAAGTCTCAGATACTCACCTATGTTTATACGATGCATGATAATCTTAGCCTTACGCAATGATGACTGGGTTTTGTGAGCTCACTAGCAGCTGTTCTTCACCACAGATCTGAAACCTTTGTACGTCCAATGTGTCTCACCCCTTGCGAATAAAGTTCCTAGAAAACTACTACAGCTATTCAATATAAAGAGAGTTCATCAAACACCACCACATCTGCTTCTGTCTGGCCAGGCAGTTTCCCATTCAGTATCTGAAACTGATTGAATGAGGTTAGTTGAAGGACATAAAGATATTGTGGCTTTCACTGAAGAATACTGATGATCGTCATCACAGATGGATCGAGTCTTGCTCTTACAGACCAGACTGCCATGTCTTTTTTCTGAACAGAAGCTTCTATCAGTGGCCCTAACCTCAGGTCACCTCAAGTGGTCCCCTCAAGCAAGGGCCAGCCCAGCTCCCCTCACCTGCATCCAGCCCTGCCAGGACTTTTTGTTTCCAACTGCACACAATACACTTTCTGCCTGGGCCCATTAATTTTGAGCCATATCACTGTTTACCATTATTAGCAAGCAGCAAAAAAATAACAATAGCAAGCAGCTAAGAGAAAGCTTGGAATTAATTATTTCTTTCATTATTTGTTTTGGAACTAATATTTGTTTTGTTTGCTTCATTAGGGTCACCAGGGTCTGCCAGGGCCACCAGGACCTCCAGGACCCAAAGGAGAAAAGGTATGAAGATGGATTATGCTGTTTTACAGATTGAGTAATTGTAAAGAGAGGAAATGTTAGTGCATGCTCACTGTTTTCCACAGCATTCAGCTAAAGCAACCCTTGGCAGTATTTATCAGTACTATGAGAGAATATGAAAAGAAATGCAAAACTGTGGAAATGGATCATTCAGAGCCAGAGTTCCCAATTATAGAGCTGAAATGTTTCAGGGTTTAAAACAAAAGGCACCCATTGTAAGAAACATATTCTGTTGTATCAAATAACAGCACTCCCCTTACTGAGCACCGCTGACAGAAATAATCACTGTGGAACCAGCTAAATATTTATTTAGCTTTAAGCCTGTGAGTACACCCACGGATTTTGCTGAAAGTCCAACTAAGATGGACAAAGGTCTGTGCTTAATATAAATTGTTAGAGGCAGGATGTTGACTCTGTTGCTATTTTAGTGTCAAATTCACTGGTATTCTTTTCATTTTCAAATCCTCCAAACAGATTTGTACGCTGACTAAAGTCTTTGTGGCCCCAAGCAGGTACAGGGATTCTCTTCATGAAGATTAGGTTGAAGCTGCACCTGACAGAGAAATACATTCTTAATTTAGGGCCAGTTTTGCAATGAATACTGCTAATAGGCAAGTAGCGGTTGAAGTTCTAAATAGGTTCTGATATAATTTTCAGAAACAATAACTGAAAACTCCATTGGGAGCTAGGTGTCTAGCTTGCCTGGTCACTTCTGAAAAAGCACTTTGGTGAACTTTGAAAACCCTTGATCATATTTAAAATATGAGCCTCTTTGCATCACACATTGGTAAATATCATCTGGAACATATAACTTTTTGTCTGTTTATTTAGGTGGCAGTTGTTTCGTATTTAAAATTTAATAGAGTTCAGGCCGAATGTTGGAGTCATCTGTATAAGTGTTTCTCAATATTAAGTGTATTTCTTAAAACAGTGGAAGAAATTTTCTTTTTTCCTCTTTTCAAATATCCTGTTTATCCTTCTTTTTCATTAAATAAAGAAAAGATTACATGGACATTGTTTAAATAATTTTTTTTTTAATAGCTGCCTTTTGAGAATTGAGCAAATATTTAACTTTTTTAATCCTAAATGTCCTCAGGATGTTTAGATGCATGGTAAAATGGTGTTACCATTTCCATTGTATTAAAACCATCATATTCACATTTGACACCTATACAGTATGCTGTCTGGGTGTTCCTTCTCATTTGAACATGTGTGTGTTGAATTTCCAAGTTAATATTTTTTAATACTTTGTTCTAGGGTTACCCAGGTGAAGACAATACAGTCCTTGGACCACCTGGGCCCATAGGTGAACCAGTAGGTCTTTCTTTCTCAAAAAAATTATATTAATGCCTCTCAAGACAAAAGATAATGCAGGCTCTTTCTGAAACTCTGTCACTGTCTCAGGAGTCACTATCTCCTTGTACAAAAAACATAAATGATGGTCCTTTAATAGGTAATCCCTCTGTGAAAAATGCAGTCATGTACTCTTTCCTGCATAGGAGTAGTGACCTGTGTTTAGACCAGCACACTTTGAAACAGAATTTTACCCTCTCTGTTTGTCCTGAATTGTACCTAATTTCTTCACTAACCGGGAATATGTTTTGACGTATTTCATTACCACTACAAAGCTAATTTAGCTGACTAAGAGAGAACTGCATTTTGTAACAATTTTTTTTCCTGAATTCATATGTGGGGTATCTCTGCAGCAATTACAATATATTGGGGGAAAAAAAGTCATCTCAAAATCAAGTGTTTCATGTCCAGGCTTTGACTGTGCCAGAGGTAATACCTGTACAGCCTACTTCTCTTCAAATTAACAATCATGTTTATACCTCATCTCCTCAAAAGGCAGGACTCTGAGACCCTGAAGACGGAGTCTAGACTAGATTCTTAACTTCATTATGGTAATGCATGAGAGAAGAGACTCCAGCCAATTCTGTTGTAACTGACTCTGTAATGCTGACTCCTAAAATGTTGTAAGCAGAACCTTTCTACCTTGTGGATTCCCTCAAGGAAACATGCTGTGAGGCTGCCGAGTGCACTACCTGTGGCTGACCTATTAATTTGTGAACTGTAAGGATACCTTGCAGTTGGTGGTACCTGGCCAATTTTTCATTATCAGACCATTAAATACAGGTGGGAAAAAGGCAATCCCTTATTATGTCACCTAATGATTGGCTGGATGTCTTTTGGAAGGTCTTGGCCATTCCT